TAATCAAATGAAAAGAGTAATACAACCACTGCGACAGCTATCTTTTGTATGTCGTGTTAGAAAAATGATTCTGAATCACGTGAATTTGTAGAACTGCGTAGCTTTCATTTCATTATTTTATTATATATCATCGTCATTAATATTTCTTTCTGCACCCCTAATTGTACTCTCCACACTATCTCTCGTTAAAAATATATAAAAATCACTACACCTCTTTATTTTTGATATTTTTCGAATTAGGTGTTCGACAGGATATTTTCGGATTCAAAAAATGCTTTCTAAAACACCCATTCGAAATATTAAAAAAATTGGAAAGAGTATTCCAGATATTTACAGATCCAAAAACATTTTCCGTAGTACTTGTTCCAGAAGATATTTGGATCTGTAACACTTGTTTCGAATATTTTTTTTCTTATCTTGAAATGTATTTTCGAGGCAAAAATTTATTTTCTAGAAATATCGTTTGAAACGGTCATTTTATAATATAAAGAAAGAATTCCAAAACTTGTTTCGGAAATTTTTTTTCTTATTTGGAATGTATTTTCGAGACCGAAATGTATGTTCGAACGTAGAAATATCTTTTTTGAAACAGTCATTTTAAAATACAAAGAAGGAATTCCAAAACAGGATGTTTGGTTATTTTCAGATCTGAAATATTCATTCCGAAATGTACCGTGAATTTTAATAAAATATTTTAATTAATTGTTTTTTTTTTTTTTTTGAGACGACTATAGCATCAGTTCTTAGCACGTGTATTATTTTAGAAGAATTCATTGGCGACTGTTGTAAGTCGTTCCACTTTTATAGGCTTTGTATATTGGTTAAGCGTATTTGCAAATCAATTATGAATAAAATGCATTACTAATATTGCAAATGGTTGCACCTGGCTTAAGTAATCAACAAACCACAACATTCAGATAACTGTTTGTGTAATTTAACATGTGAACGAAGACCTTTGTCCAACTTTGTTTTTAACTTTTTGGCGAAGGATATGGGCCGGTTTGGGCAGGGTCCGTGTAGTTAGATGCCTAGCGTGGAGCTGGACACAAATTCCAAAGTAAGACGGGATGACGCCGTTGCAAGGCACACTTCTTACCAGAAAACAGGTCTGATGGTTGTTAGGGTGAAACTAGAGCAGCAAAAGAGCGGGGTGGATTATAGGGTAACGAGGGTTATCTAAATTTTACTAATTTTTTTATTTTAAATTTTGTAGATTTTTAAAACGATAGTCAATGGATAAGTATGAAACATACTATTACATTTTAAAACTATTACTATTTTTGTTATGGTTGAACATATTATCATCAAAATATGTTTTAATGGTCTTAAATATGTTTATTTCTAAATTTTACTAATTTTTATTTAAATTTTTGAGATATTTTAAAATGACTATGTATCTAATGAAGTATCAACAACCTACCTAAAACATGACTTATTTTTTTATTTTAAAGATTATCATCAAAATTTGTTTTAATGGTTTTTTTATAATATGTTTATTCTAAATTTATACTAAAAATATAAAATTTTTTTTATTTTAAATTTTTATAGATTTTTAAAATTAGTATCTAATTTGAATTAGTATTGAGGATCCTTTCGTAAACTTTCAAACCATTTCTAAACAATAAAATTTTGATTTCACAAGTCTGATAAGTTGGCTTGTAAATATTTGTAATGTTGAGCAAAAAATCATTACTCTATTTCTTTTTAACAAAAAGCATTTAATTTTATTTTTGATTAACTTCTTCAACTTTTGAAACCTATAAAAGAAACACTCAACAAAGTTAAAAACATAGAACATTCTTATAATAGAATTCAACTTCACTTACTATAATAATTTTTAAAACACTCTTAACAAGATGAGTTCGCTTGATTTTTTTCCTAAAACATAATAAGTGTCTAAGCAATATGCACCAATGTTTCTAAATTAAAATAATTAACTAATGAAGAAATAAGTTAAACTCAAATGTATGAATATCTCTTTTTTTCCACGTTTCTCCTTTCCTTTTTTTTTTTTCTTCTCCCTTTCTTTTTTTTTTTCTCTCTTCCCCCCCCCTTCTTTCTCACCTTTTTTTCCTCTTTTTCTTTTTTCCTTTCTGGATTTATCATCTTTTTATATTCAAACCACGAATGACATTTTTTAGACTGCATTGATATAAACACTTATTTTTACTTTAATGCTTTCGTAACCTAATAAATGGAATTTGGTGCGGTATTATTTCAATGTGATGACGCTTTCAAAATCACGTTCTAAAGAATTTTCAATTCAAACTCATATAACTCTCCTTCTTCACAAACTCGTAAGACTTTGAAAGAGTTGTTATTCATTTTCTTCCTAGTTCTTGGTATTCTCATTTTAAAGTTATCAATGTTAGCTGACTACAGATGCATTTTTTTCATGTTCATCACAATTGTCTTTCTCCTAAAAAAATTATTTTGTTACTCGTTCAATCATAATGTTGATGGTATTTTGAAATTCATTTACTTTCATTTTTTATATTGTTGTTGTACCGATAAGTCCTGAAGGTCTATATATTTTGTTATTTATTCTTCAAGTATTTATTAGATTGTTTGGATGACAGGTGAAAAGTCCAAAGATGGGGTATTTGTTCCAAAGAAGGGAAGTAGGTAAATAAATGCTTTTGATTGACCAAGTTTCTATGCTCTTTAATTAGGCATCAATAACTAGGGAAAATACATGTTATTAAGGTATAGCTTTATTTAGGTTGTACTTATAGCCATAACGAATTGAATATTGTAATTTTGTTTTTATGATGCATGTTTTTGTGACATTTAATGATTTGATCACATGATTAACATTTGCGGGTGTTCTGGGGGGTTGTATAATTCTGGTATTTCAGGATGAGTTACAGTATTTCCAACTCACCTAATTTTGGCTTGTTTTGTTTCCAACTCACCTAATTTTGGCTTGTTCTGTTTGCATAGCAGAAGAACTTGGCTGGATAAATAACTCACCTAATTAAATTCTGTGTAATTTTGGTGAATGTATTTTTAATTGTTTAAGGCAACTTGCCTAAGAATATCCCAGTCAAGTTATAATAAGTCAGTATTCTTTCATTGCATCCCTTCATGGACATCTGATGAAAATTGGAAATAATATTATAGTATTGTTATATGATCAACAAGGACGTAGAGTGCACATTACTCAAGAGACGAAGGCTGATATAATTGAAATGTCTTGTTATATCAGTTTTTGGTGCAGTTTTTATCTAGTCCAGATTGCTTTAATTGAACTAATCATAAAAACAAGCAGGAGTATCACTTGGTGCAGCCAATGAATGAATGTGCTGGTTGTTGTCTTAAAGTCTGAAAAAGCTGGATCAGTGAGCAAAGCATGGCTCGTGAGTGTGACTGGAGAATGGCTGGAGTTGTATTGGTGAACTGTGCTATCTAGTGAAGAACTTAAAGAAACAAAATATGCATGAGGATATGACTTGCAATGGCCTGGACAGAAGATTGAAGCTGAACTGTTGTTCATACATGAGGGAGGAGAGTTCACTTTAGATTTTCTCTGAAGTTGGAAGTGGGACAATATGTTTTTACGTTAATACTGTTATTTTTGGTTTAACATTACAAATTTCTATTTCTCCACTGTAATTTTTGTTTCTACTTTTATTATTATATTTTTCTCATGGTAAAAAGGAAAGCCCATGGACTAGCCCTGACCCATAGGGCTTTAGGGCTATTTGGTCCTATGGGCTTTTTTAATGAGAAATGTTTTTGGCCCTGTGGGCTTTTTTGGCCCCAACCCACATGGGCTAGGGCCAAATCTTATAAAATGGACTGCTTTGACAGCTCTACTAAGGCCTCAACGGATATGAGAGGTCCGTTGAACCTTCAACGAAGGAAAACACCCAAAATGTTGAAAGGCTTCAAAGGATATGAGACATTCGTTGAGCCTTCAATGGATCTCGAGATCCGTCCACAGATATCGAGATCCGTTGAAGGCTCAACGAGTGTCCCATATCCGTTGCAACCTTTGGTGTTTCTCTTCTTCTTCGTTTAATAAAAAACAGAGCCGCATATAAAATCACTAACCTGGATCAAAGACAATAACAAAGAAAGCACCAAACTCCACAACACCATGAATCAAGAAACAACACGAACCTACCACCAACCAAGCACCAACACAAACCAAGCAAAGGAGAAGAGAATCGTAACATAAATAGTCAATTGGGGAAAGAGGAAGATGGAAAATTGAGGAAAGAGAAAGAAGAGAATAAGAGAGGAAGAGAGAAAGTAAGAGTATGGGGTGAAGCAGCTGAGTGAATAAAAGAATAAAAATTAGGATTTTCAGAAAAAGTTAAAAAAATAAAGGGTAAAAGTAAATAATAATATTTTTGGAATTAAAAAAAATTAAAAAAGTATAGATAGCCGTGTGTGTGACAGTGGAGGGAGTAACATTTTACTTTAGATTCTATATGTACATACTTGAACCCAAAACAACATGCACAATTACAAACTAGTACACAAAGATAATCACAATAAAGAACGTAATCCCAAGAAGGTTAACACTCCATTCTTTATCAATTATCTACACCATACGACTAAAAGGATGGAACTGAGAAAAAAGATGCACAATGAAATATATATTATAGAATTTCTTCTAGATTTGGTTTGGATATGAGAAGGTTATTGACTTCTTCATCTAAAACTTCCTTAACTTTCTTTGTTATTCACCTTCTCATTAGTTGCTAATAGATAAATCTTTTTTTCTTATTAGAAACGTCTATTTCTAAGTTTAAACAAATTTAGACTCTGATATGCTGGTGGGTAGCTCCGTAAGTAGGCTTTGAAGTTTAGATCTATATCACACCAAACAACCTTAAAATATAATATACTTCTGTTTTTCCGTTTCCCATAGTTGACCATTTCTGCTGTCACTTGTTGCTATAATATAGATACACTTGTTCTCATCATATTTAATGAAATTTGACGTAGCATACATTAATAAAACTGACACTATCAAGTCATCTTTATCTAGATAATAAACATACCTGACGAAAAAGACCATTTTTACATTTTGAACAACAAGAATAACGTGTGTACACACCAATAAACATATATATTATTTAGAGCAGCACCACACAAAGTGAAGATAATAAGTTACAACAGCAACTTTGAGAACAAAAACATTTAGAATGAAAAGGTCGTTGGTTTAACGTGAAGTGGTACTTTCTTTGAGACAACAAGTCCAAATATTTCGGTCATATCTATGTCTTGTGTATCAGTTTCTGGCAACTTCCAATCAAACCAATAAAGAAGATTAGCAAGCATATACTCCATAGAAGCATTGGCAAAGTTAATTCCAGGACATCCTCTTCTCCCAAAACCAAACGGAATAAACTGAAAGTCTTCTTGACCTTTAAAATCAACTTCAATATTTTCAAATCTCTCTGGCATGAACTCTTCAGGACTTTCCCAGAATTTGGGATCCCTTTGCATTGCCCATGAGTTGATATATACCGTTGTTTTTGCCGGAATATCATATCCTTTCAGTTTTACAGCAGACATCGTTACTCGAGGAGCCAAAAGAGGAGTTGGAGGGTGTATTCTTAGAGATTCTTTTATCACGCACTTTAAGTAGTGCATTTTCTTAATGTCACTTTCTTCTACATTTGATTTATCACCTACAACTGCTCTCACTTCTTCTTGTACTTTTTTCATTATCACTGGATTTCTTAAAAGCTCAGACATAGTCCATTCTATCGCCGATGAAGTTGTGTCAGTGCCTCCCACAAACATGTCCTAAAATAATACAATAGTTAAATCTTCTTCAGATCTGTTAAACGGTTCATTCAATTCTCAAGGAAGAATTGTAAATTAAAAGCTTTTAATATTGTAATAAATTCAAAAAGATACTTTACATTCTATTAATATTGTAAATTAAAAGTTTAATTAATAAATATTTTATTACACGATGTTATATGAAAATCACAGACTGTAAAAAAGAAATTTAATATAATAATAATTTAAATTAAATTTTTCAAAAGAATGAATGTCTCAAGATCATATGTCACTCTCCAACACCAAATTAAATATGGAATAAGAGTTTGTTTTCTGTCCTTACCATTTCGTAATTTATTGTTAGATTTTGATAATCAAAGTTAACTTTGAGAACTAAAAACAACAATCTCAACAAAACACCAATAAAACAAAAAAAAAAATCTTTTAAAAGGAATCTAAATCTTACGTGTTATATTTTTAAAATGAATTGCCAAAACGAAGGTATTCATTTATATTTTAGGGTTATATATATATTCGATAACCAGGAATCATTCGATAATTTTTCAGTAGCAAAAAGTGGATGATGATGGATTTTAAATAAAGAAAAGTTGCCATAATTATTTTCTCAATTGAAAAATTATAGTTATAGAAAATGAATTTTGAGCGTGAAATATCATCACTAAACGTTACCGTTAAAATTGCTTTGATGTCATTTTTGGCGAGGTCGACGCTGAGCGTGTTATCCTTATGAAGTTGGAGGAGGACGTCCAAGAAGACTTTGTTTTTGGAGTGTTGACCTTCCCTTTTGACGCTCATCTCTTCTGCAATTACCTCATCAAATAAACTATCCAGTGCTTGAGCAGTGGCTTTGTATTTCTGAATTTTTCCAGTAACAACATCAACCCAACCCAACCAAGGAAAGTAATCTCTCACTGTGAAAGCTGTGAGATGAATCATCACTTCCCTTGCTAACTCTTTCACTCTCGTGTAACCATCTCCTGCAAACTTCCTCCCAAGAGCACATTTGCACGCAATATTATTTGATGTTGACACAATCATCTCACTTAGATTCACAACGTTTTCATCACTCTTGCTAGCTTCACGTAGCTTCTTCACCAACTGCGCAACTTCTTCTTCCCTGATTGCTCCAAATGATTGCACCTTTTTCGTGCTCAGAAGTTCAAGCACACATATTTTTCTTTTCTGTCTCCAGTTTTCTCCATAGAGTGCAAAAGCAAAGTCTGTGCATCCATAGAGTAAGATATTTGCAGCAGTGTTTTGGGGTCGGTCCGAAAAGGCTAGGTCATGTGTTTTGATTATTTCGGCGAACAAATCTACAGATGAAACGACGAGGGTTGGAGTTTGCATCTGTCCCAACTGCAACATCATTATGTCTCCATATTTTAGAGAGAGATCTCGAAGAGCTCGATGTGGCAGTGTCCCAAACTGATGCAGATTGCCTATGAATGGGAGCTTTGGGGGAGATGGTGGCAGATTCAGATTGGTTTTGGGTTTGGATCTTCTTGCGAGCTTAAAGAATAACAGAACACTGATGAAGAAGGAAAGAGAAAGATAGAAGGTAGAAGAGAATACTCTTTCCATTTGCTCATGAGGCCATTGTTTAAGAGCCATTCTTTTTTCTCACATCTGGTAGTGTTAGTCCATCAAAGATTTATAAGCAAACATACGTAGCTGCTTGGTCGTTGTTTTACTTGTTCTTCGTTAACTAATTTTATTCAATTGTTGCTGTTTTACTCTTCCTTATTAAATTCCCTTCTTATGCATTCTTGGAATCCTTGACTTAAAAATATACTCTTATATATTATCAAATTTTATATTTTAAGATTAAAAGTATTTGAATAATTTTTTTAATTCTAAATTAAAAATAAAAATTATTAAATACTCTATATTCAAAGTATATATTTTTTATGAATAAAGAATTTTTTTGTCGATTAAAATTTGGTATACTTCGAGACTTCAAGGTTACTATAAGTTAACAAACGTCACACACACACACACATATATATATATATATATATATATATATATATATATATATATATATATATTAAGTCACAAACTTGACATTGTGTCTCCTTTCTTATATGTTAGAAAGATGTTTTTAAAATTCTCTCTAATATTGATATATTAAGGATATCAGTATTACAACTTTGGTGGTTGTAAGTAAACTTTTACTTTTATCAGGTTTGAATATATTCAATATGTTATTATAACATTATTCATTTTCAATGTTTAATGTTTTACATCTTATATGTATTGACAGGATCATTTCAAAAGACCACACGATTTAGCAACTCATTTTTTGAAGTTTAACATACAACACTTAACGAAATATTGCTTAGTAAGTGAAGCGTCTAAAATAAATGCTTACTAAAACACTGATAAGCGCAAGCAAATTAAAAATGACATGTCAAAATTTATAAAAGTCAAAATTATGTTTGATAAAAAAGCATGTCTAATAAGACAAGTAGTGTTAAAAGTTGAATATATTATACTGAAAAGCACATACTTATGCCAAACTTTAAGTTCTACATAACATGCCTAACTTTTCTCTTAAAGTAAGAACATTAAGTGCATGAACGTATTGCACCTCTACTTTCTTTCTGTTTATATGTGGATAATGACAATACCAAACTTTATTTAAAAGCTTTACACAAGGATCAGAAAGACGTTAAGAGATTGGAAAACATTCTGAGAATGCTTCCTTAAAGCCTTATGCTTTGCCCAAAGTCATATACATTATCACTGCTAAAACAATGTTGCTCTTCCCAAGACGTAAAACAATAGATATCTTCGTACTTAAGGACACTTACTCTCAAGGAGATCAACTCTTAAGTAACATATCTTTTTCGAAGGTGACTATATAAAAAGAAGTTGTTGAAGAGAAAAAAACAACAACAATTATTTGAATCTTTTAGTTGTTACTTTTCTTCTAAGTTCACATCGCCTAAGTCTTTCTTTGAAAGAGAAAAGTTTTTTCAAGTTTTTAGATTTAATTGTATTTGAATCTATCATCTTATTTAAAGTAAGACTTTTTGAACCGGTTAATCCTCCAAACGGTATAGAATATGAAACTTTTTATATTCAAAATGGATATAAAAAGTCTAGATCATATATTATACATTCCTTACCTAGCGAATTTTTTATACTGACTTTAGAATCGGTATAAAAATTGAATACTTTTTATACTCATTACATCTATATCTGTTTGAAAATCGATATAAAAAGTATTTTTTTTAACTAAACAGCTATTTTAATTAGTGGTGAATGAATTTATATATATATATATATATATATTATAGTTATTATTTTTATCTTTAATATTATTTCTTATATTATTATTTTATTATTAATATTATCAATAATTTTATTATTAAAATATAAAATTATTTATATTATTATTATTAATTTTATTGCTTAATATTAAAATTATTATTATTTAATATATAAAAAATTTACACTATAAAAATCCATTGTCGAATTATGTTAATAATTAAATTTAATTAAATAATTATATATAGAGTAGAATTTTTCATATTCCACAAGATTATTTTCTTTTAGATTTATATAAAATTCATTTTTTTTTATTTTCTATTTTTAAAGTTTCATAAAATTATTTATAAATCCTTTTATGAAATATAAAAAAATTGTTAGAAATAAAAAAAATTAGGTGACATTAAAAGAAAACAAGCATAGAAAATAAGCATTTAGTTTCTATATTATAAGTCATAAGTACCTTATTATACTTCGTAGGTGGTTAATCACTTCACTCGTTTCTAATAAAAAAAGTTAACATTAATTTCAGACTCAATTATTTATCTTTGTGTCCAACTTAAACGAAAATAAAGTATGTCAAGACTCAATAACAATTGAGTTAATAAAAGTGTGTTAAGATAAATAAATGAGACAAATATATCATATTGTAATAGAAACAAAATTAACGGTTAGAAATTCAAATACAAATTAAAAATTCTCACAAAAATGAAAAAGTTAAGTAAAACAAACAAAGACGTATTGACGTTAAAATTTTATATTGGGAATGATGTTATGTCACTCTTATATGAATAACTCTAAATTAGAGATAGTTAATCTCTTCCGTTTATACCAACAAAAGATTTTCAAAAAAAGTAACGTGTGATGTAATATGATATTAAATAATTAAGTTTATTGAATATGGGTATAAAAATATTTATATTAGCTTTACAAAAAAATTAAGTTCTTTATTCTTGAAGATTTAGTTTTATATGCTTAAAATTGACTGGATCTAATAATAACATAATCAAATGAAAAGAGTAATACAACCACTGCGACAGCTATCTTTTGTATGTCGTGTTAGAAAAATGATTCTGAATCACGTGAATTTGTAGAACTGCGTAGCTTTCATTTCATTATTTTATTATATATCATCGTCATTAATATTTCTTTCTGCACCCCTAATTGTACTCTCCACACTATCTCTCGTTAAAAATATATAAAAATCACTACACCTCTTTATTTTTGATATTTTTCGAATTAGGTGTTCGACAGGATATTTTCGGATTCAAAAAATGCTTTCTAAAACACCCATTCGAAATATTAAAAAAATTGGAAAGAGTATTCCAGATATTTACAGATCCAAAAACATTTTCCGTAGTACTTGTTCCAGAAGATATTTGGATCTGTAACACTTGTTTCGAATATTTTTTTTCTTATCTTGAAATGTATTTTCGAGGCAAAAATTTATTTTCTAGAAATATCGTTTGAAACGGTCATTTTATAATATAAAGAAAGAATTCCAAAACTTGTTTCGGAAATTTTTTTTCTTATTTGGAATGTATTTTCGAGACCGAAATGTATGTTCGAACGTAGAAATATCTTTTTTGAAACAGTCATTTTAAAATACAAAGAAGGAATTCCAAAACAGGATGTTTGGTTATTTTCAGATCTGAAATATTCATTCCGAAATGTACCGTGAATTTTAATAAAATATTTTAATTAATTGTTTTTTTTTTTTTTTTGGAATCCTCTAGATAAGTTCTTCGAGTTTTAACTTTTAGAATGAATTCATGGGACTTTAAGCGTTCCACTTTTATAGGCTTTGAATTTGAGATCTATTTCACATCAAATGAATAACATATTACTAATCTTCCAATGTTTGCCCTTTGCTTAAGTAATCAACAAACCACAACATCATATCAATGTTTTGTGTAATTAACATTTGAACGAAGACTTTTTTTCGATAGAGACTATGGGCGGTGGCAGTGTCCGTTTAGTAGCTTCCTAGCGCTGGATTGGACAAAATTCCAAAGTAAGGATGCGCCGTTGCAAGTCAACAACTCTTACCTAAAACATTACTATTTTTTTTATTTTTAAATATTATCATCAAAATATTGTTTTAATTGTTAAATATGTTTTATTCTAAATTTTACTAATTTTTTTATTTTAAATTTTTATATATTTTTAAAATTATATGTATCAATGGAAGTATCAACAACTCTTACCTAAAACATTACTATTTTTTTTATTTTTAAATATTATCATCAAAATATTGTTTTAATGGTTAAATATGTTTTATTCTAAATTTTACTAATTTTTTTATTTTAAATTTTTATATATTTTTAAAATTATATGTATCAATGGAAGTATTGAGACGTAAACTTTCAAAACATTCTAAACATAAAAATTTTGATTTCACAAGTCTTGATAAGTTGTCATTGTAATATTGTACTGTGAGCAAAAATCCTTCTCTATTTCTTTTTAAAAAAGCATAATTTTATTTTTATTAACTTTCTTTCAACTTTTGAAACCTATACAAGAAAACACTCAACAAAGTTAAAACATATAACATTCTCAATTAGAATTCAAATTCAATTACCTATAATAATTAAAACATCTTAACAAGAGAGTTCGCTTGATTTTTTTCCTAAAACATAATAAGTTAAGCAATATGCAACATTTTCTAAATAAAATAATTTAACCATGAAGCAAATAAGTTAAACTAAATGTATTGAAATATTCTTGGATTATCATCTTTATCAAACCACGAATGATTTTTTAGATGCATTTGATATAAACACATTTTACTTAATCTTTCGTACCTAATCAATTTAATTTGGTGGGTATTATCAAATTTGATGACGCTTTTCCAAATCACGTTCTAAAGAATTTTCAAATTCATTACATATAACTAACTGTAAGACTTTTAAAGAGTTGTTCTTCATTTTCTTCAATTTTTGGATTCTCATTAAATTTCTCAAGTTTAGCTGACACAGATGCATTTTTTTCATCTTCATCACAAGTCTTTCTCTTAAAAAAATTATTTTTTTTACTCTTCATCATAATTTTTAATGGTATGCACTTCATTTATTTCACTATATTGTTGATTTATGACTACATATATCTGGATTCTATGATTGGGATTGTCTTTGATTGCTTTTTGATTATGTCCAAGTTGAATGTGGTGGGGAACAAATGTTATCCATTACACTTTAACTTGTTTCGCATATTAATGACGGACCACAGATGGATTTATCCATCGATAATTATCGACGAACACAATTTGTTAATAAATGTTTTCGATAAAAGCATTACCAATAGATCATTGCTTGTCAGTAATCTGTCAAAAAAAGTTAAATACTAACGGATTTTTGACATTACTAGCCACATTTATTTGCTGGTAATATAAGTTTTTTTTTAAGTTTTTTTTTGTAGTGAAGTAATTTTTTAATATTATTATTCTCTTACATAGTTTCAAAACCTAACATAGACTTATTTATACAAGGAAGAGTTTAATCAACTATTAAAACATGATTTTATGATATTTGACTAAGAGATATGCTAGAAAAATCATACAGGAGGAAATCAAATTATTTAAAAAAGAGATAAAAAATAAACTTACTCAAATATTTTTTAACTTCTCAATTTCATCGTGGTAATTTGATTTTAAAAAGATCAAAAATTGAGAGTGAAAATTAAAATAAAAAAAGAAGGTGAAAAAGAAAAACGAAAGAAATGAAAGAAAACATAATGCATAAGGGGAGAAGGGGTTATTGCGCATGGTTTTACAAGTTTAAAATAAAAACTTTTTAAAACTTACTATAAATAATATAATAATATGAAATATAATTTTAAAAAATATATATAAAAAAGAAAATGAGAAAAGTTTGGGATAGTTGTGACTCTCTTGTCATAACCAACATTCCTCATTGTTTAGATTGACACATAAGTTGATACCAATTTATAAGAAAAAACACATTTAGTTATTTTTAAACGAAATAAAAACTAAATTAAGAAAAAATAAATAAACATATTAAATCAATTCTACAAATAATGAGATGAAAATAATAATTAAGTCTAATATTTATATAACAACATATACTTATCCAACTAGAAAAACAAGTACAGATAGGGTGTCACAATATAACAAAAAGAGAACATATATAGAAATTTACTCAAGATGAAAAGGTTTTGGTTTAAGGAGAAGTGGTAGTTTCTTTGAGACAACAAGTCCAAATATCTCGGTCATGTCTAGTGTAGCAGTACCAGTTTCAGGCAACTTCCAGTCGAACCAACAAAGAAGATTAGCAAGCACATACTCAATTGAACTGATTCCAAAACTCATTCCAGGACATCCTCTTCTTCCAAAACCAAATGGAATAAAGTGAAAGTTTTCTTGGTTTTTGAAATCAAAATCACTGTTTTCAAATCTCTCTGGCAGAAACTCTTCAGGACGATCCCAAAGTTTAGGATCCATTTGCATTGCCCATGCATTGATATATACCGTTGTTTTTGCAGGAATATCGTATCCATTTAGTTTTACATCAGACATTGTTACTCGAGGAGCCAAAAGAGGAGTTGCAGGGTGCAACCTTATAGTTTCTTTGACTACACAGTTTAGAAATCGCATTTCATTGACATCATTCTCTTCCACCTTTGATTTATGACCTACTACTCTCCTCACTTCTTCTTGCACTTTTTTCATTGTGGTTGGGTTCCTCATAAGTTCTGACATGGCCCATTCTAATGTGGCTGCAGTTGTGTCGGTACCTCCCAGAAACATGTCCTAAAAAATTAACAATTGAAATTTTCATTAAACTTGTAACAATGACAACAATATACAATTTTCAATTGTAAACCAAGCCTACCATATTTATCAACTTGAAAATTACTATAAGTTTTATCTTCCAACAATCGAAAGATTAAACTTAAAATAACGCTTAACCGTTTCTAATCCTTTAATTTAACGTTTAAAAATATAAATCTTATTTTCTTAAAATTTAAAGAACTAAAATAATTTTTAGATTTGAAAACCAAATTGAATTAACTTTAAATTTTAAAGACTAAAACTATAACTAACTTTTTATTGAAAGAAAAATGAAAGTATATATATATGTGACAGTAAAAGTTGAATAATCAATAAAAATTGAATGCTATTATATGACCAAGACATTAGAAGTTGACAAAGACAATATAAGTGACAGAAAATGGACTGATCAACTGCATATCAACTGCTACAAGCGATGCAGTCCACGAAAAATAAACATGGTGGTGACCATATTTATTACATGAACATAAAACTATCTAATCTATATAGACATTTTAAAACATTATTTTATATATATTATGTGCCATATATATACGTGTAACTGTGAGCTACAGCTACGGAAATAAATTACAAGTGAATATAAGATGGGAAAAAAAAGATACCGTTATCAGTGATTTGATGTCATTTTTGGTGAACTCGTATCCTAGCGTGTTGTCCTCGTGATGGTTGAGGAGAATATCCAAGAAATCTTTCATTTTGGAGTGTTCACCTTCTCTTCTAAGCCTCATACGTTCTGCAATCACCTCTTCAAATAAAGCATCCATTGCTGCAGCTGTGGCCTTGTATTTCTGAATTTTTCCAGTAACAACATCAACCCAACCCAACCAAGGGAAGTAATCTCTAACGGTGAAAGCTGCAATATGAATCAAGGCTTCCCTTGCCAACACTATCACTCTGCTGTAACCATCTCCTGCAAACTTCCTTCCAAGAGCACATTTACACACGATACTATTTGTTGTTGACATAATCATCTCACTTAGATTTACGTAACTGGCATCGTTCGAGCTTGCTTCACGTAGCTTTTTCACCAACTCCCCACCTTCTTCTTCTCTGATGACTCGAAATGATTGCACCCTTTTGGTGGTCAAAAGTTGAAGAACACATATTTTTCTTTTCAGTCTCCAGTTTTCTCCATAGAGTGAGAAGCCAACATCTGTGCATCCGTAGAGTAAGATTTTAGAGGAAGTGTTTTGGGGTCGGTCCGAAAAGGCTAGGTCATGTGTTTTGATTATTTCGGTGACCAAATCTACAGATGAAACGACGAGGGTTGGATTTTGCATCTGCCCCAACTGCAACATCATTATATCTCCATATTTTAGAGAGAGATCTCGAAGAGCTCGATGTGGCAGTGTCCCAAACTGATGCAGATTGCCTATGAATGGGAGCTTTGGTGGAGATGGTGGCAGATTCAGATTGGTTTTTGGTTTGGATCTTCTTGCGAGCTTAAAGAATAACAGAACACTGATGAAGAAGGAAAGAGAAAGATAGAAGGTAGAAGAGAATACTCCTTCCATTTGCTCAAAAGGCCTTTGTTTAAGAACCATTTATTTTTTTCGATATCAATCTATACTTATCAGACTACATTTATAACATGGCTTTCGACTAATGAAAACTTTAAATATTATTAACATTTATTACCTATTATTATTTGTATCTTTTTATTATATTCCGATACTCTCGTATTTATATTTTTATCATTTGTCTACCTATCAGTTAATCAGAAGGATGATATATAAAACAAATTATTTATATGTTTTATAAAAAAAGTATCATAAATGATAATAGAAAACAAAAATGATAAATAAAATATATTTTTATAGACTAAAAGTTTGTAAGTAAAGTAAACAATTTATTTGAATTTATGTGTAAGCAAGTTTATGTAAAAGTTTAGTTTTTGTTTTTATTTTTATTTTTTCAAATATTTATGTATATGTATGGGAGCGGTGAAGGTCAAGGTTTAGTGATAAGATCGAAAATTGAAATTTGTCTGTGGCCAATGTTGCACTTGGATTGAGATCGATAGATGATTCTAGACCCTTACCGATAAAATAATTTCTTTTAAAACAAGTCTTATATACTTTGCCTTTTTTATCAATAAAAATAATATTTTAGCATAAATTTTGTAAGAGTTAATGAATTATTTATATATATAATTATTTTTTAAATTTATGTTCGAAAGGAAAAATTCACGCAATAATTTTATTAATAGGTTGTTTACAAATAATGGTGAAATAGACCGCAAATGTCGTAGAAAGATATCTATGCTAGAAACTTTGCATGGATATTAGGAAGTATACAAAAGCAGGAAAATGCAACGGGTGAAGTAAACAAAATGTGTCGTTATAATTTGGTTTATATTTTAAATTCTTTAAAAAAAATAATCTACTCTAACCTTATATCGAATCATTGAGTTATTTTAGTCAGATTTGAAAGAAAATGTTTTTTTAAATTATTCTAAATTTTAAAAATAAATGTTTTAGAATAAATTATAAAAGAAATATATATAGAGAGACTTTGATCCTAAGCAAATATTTTTCTTTATACAGTCATATAACAAAAAAGTTAATAAAAATGACATAAAATATATTCTTATCATTATTAATTTATTGTTATTAAATTTTGTTATTACCACGTTATTTGCTTCATGTAAGAATTTGGTCATCACAATCATATCATCCTACGAACCATAAAAAAAAATAAGTTTGTTTAAATTACATTCTATACATGTTTTAAATTATTTATATTAAAAAGTAAATTTTAAATCTAATTTAATTTCACAAAAATCTACTAATATATTGTAAACTAACTTAAACATTAGTCTATATTTTAAGCTCGTTAACCTAATTTATGTGACTTTCAACACACTCCTGATATCCAGACATATACTTATAATGTGTTCGACTAAAGATAAATGGATAATCTGATAGCGGTCTAATAATGACCCAATAGCAGATGAAATAATTAGTCTAATAAAGAATAAATTTCTCTATAACGAATAACACAATAGGCCCAAAAAACAATAAATCTTCTTATATATAGCGAGTGACGTAATAAATCGAACAATCACCAAATATCACTAAAAAATGTTACATTCATAACTTTGATACAGTGAATTTTAAGTCTAGCTCCATTTTACAAAACTAGTTGTCTTTAGAACACTAATTAACTAATATATAAAATCAATTCAAATGTTTATTCATTTTGTATCAAAACTTACAAGCTTCACTCACCTCGTCCCTTATGCGTCACATTCATGTCTCTTCAAGTTTATCACATTATATAATTTACAACTTTTTAGAAGACCCGCGTGCATTGAAATTGGATTAAGAGATTTTGTATTTGCACATTATCATCTTTGTTGACATTTCAACCAGAAGCAAACAACAAAGTCCATTTATGTGATAGAGTAAATTTTTAAGAATTACAACGTTCACACAAGTAACATATAAACATTTTTTTATACTCTTAGCATTTATTTTTTGTTCTACATGAGGCTAGAACAATAGAATCAATATAAATCATTTTCAAATATTCGTAAGATCAATACATCAACCACGTACAATATCCACTTCTTAAATAGTGTGTCCCCGTTACATCATTAACATCAATTCACATCAATTTAACCTTTAAAATTACATCTTATATATAACGAAATTCATTTAACAAAGTTAAACAAATCAATTAAATTTTTTTTGTATGATATATATATATATATGAGAGTATTTCATAAAATGTATCAACTCAAAAAAGAGTATACGCAAGTTAGAAAACCTCACACACACACACACACACACACACACACATATATATATATATATATATATATATATATATATATATATGCTAACACACGTACACATTTTTTTCAGTTGGTACATCTTAGCAATGTGTACCGGGTTTTAGTAGACAAAAATATCCTTATATATCATGGATTCTAAGTTTTAAGGTTAAGGGTATTTTAATAATTTTCATTCTCAAAACTAAAAAAACCCCTCAAACCCTTACTCACCTCTCTCATTCCTCTCAACCCCTTCTCTTTCATCTCTCTCACTCCAACCTTTTCTATGTCATCCCTATTGTGCCCGAATTGAAAACCATGCAATATTTTTTAACAACTTAATAGTCAAAATATCAAATTTTCTCAAAATAAACTATTAATTCTAAAATTTAAAAATGATTTAATAATAATAAGAAGGGAAAATATATAACACAGTCCTCCAATCAAAAATCAACATCAACATCATCAATTATTTTGTTATTAAAGTGGAAAACAAATGAACAAACAGAGAAAGAGCAACAAATTGCGGTGTCGCGAATTATTGTTTGGGTGAGAGAGAGTATGGAGATGAGAGATAAACAAATTGGATAAGTGAAGAAGATGAATTAGGGTTATGCAAGTGTTTCTGATCTTTTCAACTGGAACTACAGTAGGGATGATATATATAACAAACATATTTATTTAATTAAGATAAAAATTCTTTTCAAGTTTTTTAATTTTTATTTTAGGAAGTTTAGCTGGAATGAAAATTTTTAACGCTTTGAGCGATAAAAACATTTTGTTCTGTTTCCGTTTCTAAGAAAGTTTTTTTTCTTTAAATGTTGAATAGAATTGTCTTCAAATTAAATAACATAATATATTTAATTTAAATTGATCTTGGAATATAGTTAATAATATTTTTTTAATGAAAAACAATGGTTAAAACCCTTTGAATCTTTAAAAGATATTTTATTTATTTTATTTTGTGCTTTTAGACTATTTTGAAAAAAAAAATTAAGCTTATATATTTATTAGATTTGGCTCGCTTAACCATTTTATCCCCATTTTATTTGTCAATAAAGTTCCAGTAATGTTTTAAGAAGATTCTTTTTCGATTATTTGACGTATTTTAAAAGATTTTAATCACCCATTGCGTTGATTTTGACTGTTTTCAAGTTTCTATATACAAACATGTACTTTCAAACGTTTAGGTAAGTGTAAGCTTATGGAAATGGATTGTAGTTATTTTAAGAAACTAAATTTTATTTTAAAATGAGACTTTATAGAAAAGTAGTTTTGTAGTACCCCTTTTTGTACTCGGTCTAATGTCCAAAATAAATTCCATGTGTACTTGATCGTCATCATTACTATTAATATATTATGTTAATAATATTTTAATTTAATTTTATATCGAAATTGTTTTATAATATCAAGGCCGAATCTTATTTTAGACAAAAACTGTAGTTTGTTTAAACTTTCTACTCGTGAGCATGAGTCAAGACAGAATTTAAATGCTAGTTTGAATTCTATTTCAATAATTGGTGTTTTTTTCGCTTCGCAAACTGCATATTTAATATTGGTTAGATGTATGTGTGAAAACAATATTAGTATTGTGTCCATTTATGATTTTTGTTTATTCTTTTAATGTTATCATCACACGTTAGCTTTTCATTAAAATATATTGCGTGCATTTTGTGATTCATTAAGATTTTAGAATGACAAATATTTTATTTTATTTTCGTTTGAATGCTAACTATTTTAGCTCTGACACTTATTTTTTAAACATATCTGTGTGACTCAGCTTCCTACCGGCAACAAATACGTTGACTTTAATTTACTTCTGGTTGCATCTAAATGTGTTCTATTACGAAAAGCATCTGCATCCTTCTTTTTTTATAATTTAGAGCACCCAACATCCTTTTCGAACTTATTTTAATTAGTCGGTGCAATTTTACTTTATTGCTTTGAATTCTTATATTTTATCTTATTTTAGAAAAAAAAAAAACACCAATAATTGTGAGCATTAAATGATCGTTACAAATTTTTAATGATAAAATTTTATACAGATATAAAATAAATAATGTTTCAATAATAATAGAATAGAGGTGAAACGTTTGGTACGTTAAGTTCCTAACAAACTCTAAAATAGTTGTCTCATAATTGTTAGTAACATTAAGTCTTTTTCTTCTCTGCATGAAATTATTTGTAAAAATTATTCTGATATTTAGTAAATATCGATAAATAAAGTTCATTTTTTACAAAATAAAAAATACAATCACTTATTTTTTACTTTTAAAAATTTATATTTATAGATTTCGAAATCAATTTTTAATTAATATTGGATGAACAATTTTTTTATTTTTAAATTTATATTTATAGATTTTGAAATTAATTTTTAATTAATATTGATTTAATTATGAATCAATAGTTAATAAACATTGTAAATATATTTTATCTTTAAGTTTAATTATCATTAGAAAAAATACAAATCTTTTATTAATTAATAGTTGTCCAATTTATAGATGAACTGTTTGAGGATATGTGAAAACCGATCACCTAGTCAACTGTTGAACAAACATTTATACGATATATAAATAATAATCATTAAATTCTACTGATAAATATAATTATAATAAAATATATTAATGATGATCTTGTTTCTTAAAGTATGTAAAATATTGTATGTGTATGAATCTGTCGTGTAAGAAGTGATTGGAAATGGATGGATATAACTATTAAATCAACTCTCCACCAAAATATTAAAATAATTTTATCTTTCAATCCACATAATATTATATTGTATAAAGTTTTCGTGTATG